ATCCCATTAGAATTCTGGCTATCTCAAGTAATGTGTTCTATGATGGAATTATTGTTAATGGTGGGTATGGAATTTGAGAAAACTTGTCAAGTTTTGAAATGTTTATTACAATGAACATTGATCTTTGAGAACTAGAAAGTGAGTGTCATAAATAAAGAGGCCAGAAGCATGAAATTTTTTACTGAAATCATCTCTTTGGATGCACAATCCTTTTTTTACTTTTTTTATTCTTATTATTTTTCCCCTTGTGCAGCTGGGACATGGTGATTTTTCTTCTGCAAATACGAAAGTTCTGCGGATGGTTAATACCCTAGCAGTTGAGAATGAGGCAAAACAAACAATAGAGGCTCTGCAAAATGAGTTGCAGAAGACGAAGGAGAAATTGCAGGCTGTTGAAGACCTTAAAAAGCAGTCATGTAAGTTAATTAACTGTTAGATCGTCAGCCTCTTGAAACTTTGGTTCATCCTTCACACCTCTCTCTCGTCTTTGTCACTAGTACAATTCTCTATCTTAGTCACAGTTAATACCTCATGGTAAAGAACTGCTATACAAACAAATTGGAGGTGCATGTATTACTTGTGCACCGTTCTAATACATCATTAAATGGAACTCCCCGAACTTGGGCTTGGGGATCCTTCGGGTTTGGGTTGGGTGTGGATGTGGGTTTGCTGTGTCGCCTCTTTATCTCAATAGCACTTGGGACAATTTTAATCTCCAAGTTATTGGCATGAGTTTTGTGAACGGCTGTTTAACTTGTCATGGATATTGTTCTTCCCCTTCTTTCCTGGAGGACATGTACAAAAACTTAAAAAGGTATACTGCACCTGGAGCTCTTAATTCTAGAACTTTTTATGTCAACTAGGTGAAATTGCATTTGACATAAGAAGAGACTTCTGCAGAAGTATAGCTGAAGAGCCAACATAAGCATCTTCCGTATTTGCATACTTGAGTGTGGCAGTATTTAATTAGGACAGTGCCCTGATTTAATCCCCCTTTTTTGGCACTACAAGACAGAGTGGACTAAACCTTGGCTCTCTGGATGCCAAAACGACTTTCTTTAGAATTGACGATAAATACTCTCCCATGGTGATGTAAAATAGGTATCGAGTCGAGGTGGCATGCCCAAATTATTTTTTGATTTTGTACCGTTGGACACGTCGTCAACACATTGCTGGCATGTTGGGAGTTACATTGCCGACATGGGACGAGATACGTTGTTGACACATCGTTACGTTGTTGACATGATAGGATTAACAAAAATGAATTTATTTTATAATATAAAAAAAGTATTATTTTAAGCAAAGTGTAGGCATGTGTCGTGTTGGTACTTTTTCTAAAAAAATTGTGTCAGCGCGTCAGTGTCGGTGCTACCTAGGTCATCACTATGAGGTTGATGCTCAAGTAGCCCATAATATTCGATACATAAATTTAAGCAATGTTCATTTTTTATTTTCTATTGTTCATTGGTTTTAATAAATCATAATTTTTTATTTATTTCGGCATAAGCGTTAATTCTTGCAAACTTCTCATTTGAGGTCTCAATAGTCTTGTGGATATCTAGTCAACGTTTCATTAGGGTAGTAGATGGAAGCTATTATAAGTATACTGTCCAACTGGTGCTGAATTCCTTGGCATAGAAGGCTAGCACTTGGCAGCGAAGACACAGAAATGGGATATGGCTTTACCTTTCTAAATAGAGCTAAGATCCTTGTGCAAATAAAATATATTCTTTATCAGGCTTTATATTTGCTCTTCTACATTTGCACATTGCCTTCATATTCATTAAAAATATACTATTTACTTCATTCACTGGCTCTGTCTTCTTCTTCCTTTTTTTTTTTTTTGCCCCCTCTAATCATGATTTTTGACATGCCCTAATTGGTTATTTCACTTTAGCTGATGCTGGCACACTGGTTGACTCCTACATTGCTGGAAATATCAAGCAGTTGAAAGAGCAAATTGCAACACTTGAAAAACGGGAGGAGAGGTGAATGTTAAATAAAATTGTTTAATATTTGCTGTAGCATTTACATCTAGCTCTTCTGCATAAAATAAAGAGTCTTGAGTATTTGATGAAACAGATATAAAACAGTTTTTGCTGACAGAATCTCAGTTTTTAGAAGGGCGTGCTGTGAACTTTTTGGTTACAAGGTATGTCATGCTAGAACTTTCATTTTGGTTCTCAAACTACAGTTACTAGTATTAGTATTTTGGCTCCTCACGGGCAATAGCCAAGTTTACATGAAAACAGTGACAAAGGTACATCTTCCTAGTCAAATCGGAGAAAGCTGCCCCATTACATAATCAAAGAATCGGTTCCATGTAAAAAACAGCTATCAGTTGGGTTTCTACATTTTCATTCTGCAGCCAGCCTATCATCATGCTTGTTTTTGACATCCCCCGCGGTTTTCTGTCGTTTGCATTTTCCCATTTCTTGTACAATTTACATTTTACACTTGTCCACTAAATGCGGTTGACTTTCTTTAATGAGCGTCAAGGACTGCTACTGTTCTTTTGTTGTTATAATCACAAGGTTGAGATAATAAATAGCGTAAATCATTGGATGTATTTGAAATTTCAATCCTTGAATTCCCTTTATCTCTCCACTCAATTGCAGAGAGAGAGAGAGAGAGAGAAAAGAGAGAGAGAGAGAGAGAGATTCTTGGCTATGTTTAGAACTCCAAACAAGAAAAAGATATTGGCTCAGGATTCACATTTTATATTGATTAAATAAAGATACTGAAATATAATATTGCAAGTTAATAATAAGAAATTTAGGAATGAAGTGTGTAGGATTTGGATCACACTAGAAACTGCCCTGTTCACTTTACTAGCATTCTCTGATCCGTTTTATATCTGTCAAATTATATGCCGAACAAGACATGGCCAAGTGAATTTACAGTATTCTTCGAATGACCTTCATCTTTGTTATGGAAACTACACTTTTTTCTGTAGAAAGATGAGTAGACTCATCGGTCTATTAGCGAAAATTCAAAGACCAACTACTACTGCTAAAGTATTTGCAGTGGGGATTTGGTGCAACTGAGTTATGGTAAACATGACGGGTTTATTTTATTGTGTATCTTGTCTCTATACCAATATAACCAGCCAATATCCTTTTTGCATGCCTTCTGGACCAAATTTTTTGCTCATAATTCTGAAGTCTGTTGAAGTGATCTTCGAAATACTTTGCCAGATTGTTATGGATGACCACCAACGCTCGGATGGAATTCCAGTTACTCGCTTTACCCTTCATTCGATCTACGCACAAAGCGACAATGAAAAGCTTGAATTTGAATATGAATCAGGGAACATGAACTTTTTGGTAAGCTTGATTAACTTGATCTTTTTCTCCTCCTCTCTGTTGAAGAAGGATTTTTTTAGTCCCTTATAAAAATTTCTTCCCTCAATAGTGTATACCTCTCTTTTACTTGGCACAGTTTCTTTGGATCTTGTTTCTGGGTTGCTGACTCACTGTCTTCTTCATTGGTTTATTCCTGAAGTAATAGTTAATGCCACTTTTTTGAGTTTTGGGCATCAGGAAAAATGTGATTTTTTTTCACATCTTGTACAGTGTCAAACCTTTAGATTTGGCAAATGTATTCCGATGTCAGTGGGAAAATATCAAATAGAAATGTAAGCATTTCTGGTTTGGGGAAGCTCTTGCGTAAGTAATATTAAATGACAACAATTGATGGTAATAATGGTTGTAATTTAGTGATCTATGAGGTGGAGAATGGACATGTCTCTTTTCTTAAATACAAAAATAATAATTTACCATACACTGACACATTAATTAATTAGTAAATAAGTTCATGGTTGGTACCAGGAATTTAATGATTCGACATCTAATGTATGTTTTATGTCATTGTTGCTTAACATAAGTTAATTAACAATGCTTAGTAAAGAGAAATTACCAATATCTCCACTTGTAACATTAGTTAATTGAAAGTTTCTATTAGTTATGCCTTGCACTTGAGGCACTTACATATCAATCTATGTACAGTTTGAACTAAGTGAATTTTTCTTCTTTCCCTTCTTTTTTGATGTAGGCAAATGAGTATGCCTCACATCCTGAGTTATCTCGGCAGGTTTGAGCTGACTCGTTTTTGCAATGTGCTATTTTCTTTTTCTGCTGTGCACCAAATTATTCCTATGCAGGGCATGATGGAGTGATGTTTTTGCAGGTTGAAGTATTTATCCGAAAGATGAATTCAATTCCGGCTTTCACAGCCAACCTGACAGTCGAATCTTTCAATAAGCGGACCCTCTCTTAAAATATAGCAACAAATATTATTGATTTCCAAACACCCCAAGGTTGTTTCTTTTCTTTCTTCTTCTTTGTCGTGTGTGCGTGTGCGTATTCTTCAATTCTATAAACATGTATGAATGTACTGACTTTTTTATTTTTCTTTGTTGGTGATTTTTTTTTTGCTACTGTAAATATTTATGAATTATATATATCATGAAATTTGACTAATTGGCTCACCATTTGACACAATTTCATAGGGCATTCAATTCACTATACGCTTTTGGCATGTTTCTGTTAATTTATTTTGACAAGTAACAAGTTGGTTTAAAATCATCCCGAATTTCCGTAAATACTTGATATGAAAAGGTAAATAAGTGGTGGATTTTCAGTTTTTGCTGGGCAGTTATTGTAGCCCATGCTATTGAATCAGCTCTTTTATTTTCGGTACTAACAATTAAGAATTGTTTTTCCCTACTTGCTGCATCAAAAACCAAATTACAAACTTAGGATAAGAAACGAGCAATTATAGTAGTGTGTTTCTAATTTGGGGTCATTGTAGACTTTGTACCCTTGGGTCCGCACAACAATTTCATGCAATGATACGTATGCTTTGCATCAATAAATGTCCTTCGCTCGATTTTAGTGTTAGTGCAACGCCAATATAGTGTTATCAATCTTTTTTTCTTTTTTTTTTTCTTTTTTTTTTGTTTGGAGGACAAGACATGGCCAAGTGAATTTACAGTATTCTTCGAATGACCTTCATCTTTGTTATGGAAACTACACTTTTTTCTGTAGAAAGATGAGTAGACTCATCGGTCTATTAGCGAAAATTCAAAGACCAACTACTACTGCTAAAGTATTTGCAGTGGGGATTTGGTGCAACTGAGTTATGGTAAACATGACGGGTTTATTTTATTGTGTATCTTGTCTCTATACCAATATAACCAGCCAATATCCTTTTTGCATGCCTTCTGGACCAAATTTTTTGCTCATAATTCTGAAGTCTGTTGAAGTGATCTTCGAAATACTTTGCCAGATTGTTATGGATGACCACCAACGCTCGGATGGAATTCCAGTTACTCGCTTTACCCTTCATTCGATCTACGCACAAAGCGACAATGAAAAGCTTGAATTTGAATATGAATCAGGGAACATGAACTTTTTGGTAAGCTTGATTAACTTGATCTTTTTCTCCTCCTCTCTGTTGAAGAAGGATTTTTTTAGTCCCTTATAAAAATTTCTTCCCTCAATAGTGTATACCTCTCTTTTACTTGGCACAGTTTCTTTGGATCTTGTTTCTGGGTTGCTGACTCACTGTCTTCTTCATTGGTTTATTCCTGAAGTAATAGTTAATGCCACTTTTTTGAGTTTTGGGCATCAGGAAAAATGTGATTTTTTTTCACATCTTGTACAGTGTCAAACCTTTAGATTTGGCAAATGTATTCCGATGTCAGTGGGAAAATATCAAATAGAAATGTAAGCATTTCTGGTTTGGGGAAGCTCTTGCGTAAGTAATATTAAATGACAACAATTGATGGTAATAATGGTTGTAATTTAGTGATCTATGAGGTGGAGAATGGACATGTCTCTTTTCTTAAAATAAAAAAATAATAATTTACCATACACTGACACATTAATTAATTAGTAAATAAGTTCATGGTTGGTACCAGGAATTTAATGATTCGACATCTAATGTATGTTTTATGTCATTGTTGCTTAACATAAGTTAATTAACAATGCTTAGTAAAGAGAAATTACCAATATCTCCACTTGTAACATTAGTTAATTGAAAGTTTCTATTAGTTATGCCTTGCACTTGAGGCACTTACATATCAATCTATGTACAGTTTGAACTAAGTGAATTTTTCTTCTTTCCCTTCTTTTTTGATGTAGGCAAATGAGTATGCCTCACATCCTGAGTTATCTCGGCAGGTTTGAGCTGACTCGTTTTTGCAATGTGCTATTTTCTTTTTCTGCTGTGCACCAAATTATTCCTATGCAGGGCATGATGGAGTGATGTTTTTGCAGGTTGAAGTATTTATCCGAAAGATGAATTCAATTCCGGCTTTCACAGCCAACCTGACAGTCGAATCTTTCAATAAGCGGACCCTCTCTTAAAATATAGCAACAAATATTATTGATTTCCAAACACCCCAAGGTTGTTTCTTTTCTTTCTTCTTCTTTGTCGTGTGTGCGTGTGCGTATTCTTCAATTCTATAAACATGTATGAATGTACTGACTTTTTTATTTTTCTTTGTTGGTGATTTTTTTTTTGCTACTGTAAATATTTATGAATTATATATATCATGAAGCACTGGCTTTTTAATTTTTCTTTGTTGGTGATTTTTTTTTTTTGCCACTGTAAATATTTATGAATTATATATATCATGAAATTTGACTAATTGGTTCACCATTTGACACAATTTCATGGGGCATTCAATTCACTATACGCTTTTGGCATATTTCTGTTAATTTATTTTGACAAGTAACAAATTGGTTTAAAATCATCCTGAATTTCCGTAAATACTTGATATGAAAAGGTAAATAAGTGGTGGATTTTCAGTTTGTTTTTGCTGGGCAGTTATTGTAGCCCATGCTATTGAATCAGCTGCTTTATTTTTGGTACCAACAATTAAGAATTGTTTTTCCCTACTTGCTGCATCAAAAACCAAATTACAAACTTAGGATAAGAAACGAGCAATTATAGTAGTGTGTTTCTAATTTGGGGTCATTGTAGACTTTGTACCCTTGGGTCCGCACAACAATTTCATGCAATGATACGTATGCTTTGCATCAATAAATGTCCTTCGCTCGATTTTAGTGTTAGTGCAATGCCAATACGGTGTTATCAAATTTTTTTTTTTTTTTTGGGGGGTATAAATCGAGATATGTTATATATTTAGTGTGACACCACTTGAGAACTTGTCACGTTTAATCAAGAAGAAGCTGATGGGAACCCTAATTGGAGGAAGCATTGAATTTGGAGGGAGAGAGCGTTGACTTAATTCCGATTGGTAATTGAAAGGTGAAAGCAAGGGGGGCATAGGACAGTGGAAACATAAAGCCACTAGAAAAGGTCCTATGTTTACGCAAATCAATTCGAATCATGCATAGTGCGCCCATATCAAATAATCCATTTTTTTTTTACTTTTATTTGTTTCACACACTTTATGGTGTATTATGTGAGAAATTTGATGAATTATGGGACTTTTTAAACATTAAATCTCTATTTAAAATAACAAATTACTATAGGTCTTTGGAGGATTTTTTCAAACAATTCTGTGTCATGCATTTTATGTTAGTTTCACAAGAAATTAAGAATTGTTTAAAATCAAATCGAACCGTTTAAATTATAACTTTTAGGATCCACACGATGTCAACTTATTTTTGTAAAAGATTAACTTTTAAATGAAGTCATGCTTTGACTCGAGGGTTTCCCCTTTTCTAATTAGATTAGAAAGTTTAGTGTGGCTGACAGTGTAAAAGAACCCAACCCACTGATCCCGAAGTTGGTATGACTAATTTGTGAATAAAGCGTGACAGCAAATTTTCAAGAATTGCTAATGTGGCAAGGCTTGAGCCACACACGTAACGGCTATATGTCACGCATAAAAAAAAAATACATGAAAAAAAAAAGAAGAAGAATAATTAACAACAATTGCATTTTTGATTTGATAGAGTCTAGTATTTTGACCAAATCATACCAAAAGATTTTTGTTGACTTGTTCAAGTAGTTTCAAGACCTCTCAAATAGAGAAGATTGATTACTTGATTTTGCTAGCCGTAATGCAAATTATTTAGTGGACATTTGTTAGGACTAGAGCTTTCCAATATTCAATGAACGATAATATTTTGACTTTTTGGTTAATACGTAGTGGAGACTCGTGCAACCATAATATCCCTACGTCGTTTTGTAGGCTTGCTAGGTCGGTGTTATAACTTTATTTTTTTGTCTAAAATTTAATAAAATCTTGTCATTTGACATTCTGTAAATCAATAAGTAAAAACAGTTTGTACATTAGCATTTCTCTTCTTATTTTATGGTTGACATGCAAGTATTTAATGGGCGGACATTTTACCAGAGGTTTTTCATCTACTCATATTGAGTTCCGTTGAAGCATATACTCGAGGTGGGTGTAGGACGGATAATTTAAAACGGACTCTCCATTCATTAGATAGAGAAGATCACCAACATTTCGTGATTCACAGCCGTCCGAATCAAGAGTTGTAAATAATATCAATATTTTTATTCTTTATATTATAAAACACAATATTCATATTGATTGGCGCTACGATATCACGTTAATCTTAACAAGAAGAAAGCAAGAGTGAATTGAATTTGGAGGGAGAGAGCGTTGACTTAATTCCGATTGGTAATTGAAAGGTGAAAGCAAGGGGGGCATAGGACAGTGGAAACATAAAGCCACTAGAAAAGGTCCTATGTTTACGCAAATCAATTCGAATCATGCATAGTGCGCCCATATCAAATAATCCATTTTTTTTTTTTACTTTTATTTGTTTCACACACTTTATGGTGTATTATGTGAGAAATTTGATGAATTATGGGACTTTTTAAACATTAAATCTCTATTTAAAATAACAAATTACTATAGGTCTTTGGAGGATTTTTTCAAACAATTCTGTGTCATGCATTTTATGTTAGTTTCACAAGAAATTAAGAATTGTTTAAAATCAAATCGAACCGTTTAAATTATAACTTTTAGGATCCACACGATGTCAACTTATTTTTGTAAAAGATTAACTTTTAAATGAAGTCATGCTTTGACTCGAGGGTTTCCCCTTTTCTAATTAGATTAGAAAGTTTAGTGTGGCTGACAGTGTAAAAGAACCCAACCCACTGATCCCGAAGTTGGTATGACTAATTTGTGAATAAAGCGTGACAGCAAATTTTCAAGAATTGCTAATGTGGCAAGGCTTGAGCCACACACGTAACGGCTATATGTCACGCATAAAAAAAAAATATACATGAAAAAAAAGAAGAAGAATAATTAACAACAATTGCATTTTTGATTTGATAGAGTCTAGTATTTTGACCAAATCATACCAAAAGATTTTTGTTGACTTGTTCAAGTAGTTTCAAGACCTCTCAAATAGAGAAGATTGATTACTTGATTTTGCTAGCCGTAATGCAAATTATTTAGTGGACATTTGTTAGGACTAGAGCTTTCCAATATTCAATGAACGATAATATTTTGACTTTTTGGTTAATACATAATGGAGACTCGTGCAACCACAATATCCCTACGTCGTTTTGTAGGCTTGCTAGGTCGGTGTCATAACTTTATTTTTTCTCTAAAATTTAATAAAATCTTGTCATTTGACATTCTGTAAATCAATAAGTAGCATTTCTCTTCTTATTTTATGGTTGACATGCAAGTATTTAATGGGCGGACATTTTACCAGAGGTTTTTCATCTACCCATATTGAGTTCTGTTGAAGCATATACTCGAGGTGGGTGTAGGACGGATAATTTAAAGCGGACCCTTCATTCATTAGATAGAGAAGATCACCAACATTTCGTGATTCACTGCCGTCCGAATCAAGAGTTGCGAATAATATCAATATTTTTATTCTTTATTTTATAAAACACAATATTCATATTGATTGGCGCTACGATATCACGTTAATCTTAACAAGAAGAAAGCAAGAGCGAGAAAAAAGAAAGGACAGAGAAACGGAAAATGAGATAAAGTTCTAATAATGAAGATGTGTCCTGCAAAATAAGAATACAAAAGTTTAAATAGTCTTAAAAAACAAAACGTTTCAAGGGTTGATTTGATAGGACTTTTACTTTTGCTTTTTATAAAATTTTCTGAATAAGTTACTTTAATTGATGTTTGAAAATAAATTTTTAAAAGTGCTTCATCTTTCGGAAGAACTTTAGAGAAAATCATATCAATCAACTCTTCTAATTAGAAGAAACACTTTTATAAAATTAATCAAACGAATCTAAAAATAACTTTTACGTTTCAAAAGCTCCTTTTGACTACTCAAAAGTCATGCCAAACAAGTCCTAACAACCCTAACAAAACAAAAATGTAAAACGTAAAATAAACGTAAATAATTTGAATATGTTTCATATTATGAGAACTTTATTCGCTACTAAGTCAGCTTCCACTGGTGTCTCTTTGATCTGTTACCAAACCAAGTAAGCGCAAGCGAGGTGTATGTGTATATATAGTCGACATTGTCGTTTGCCTCTCTTTATTTAAAAGAAGCTTCGCAAAGTGCACTCTTAACTTCCCTTCATAAATACTCGGAACGGCTCTCACATTCCCTTCTTGAAATATGTCTTATAGATTAGGTGATCGACCTTGTTTCTCAACTCTAATGAGTCTCAATTTTAGATTATTTGCTAACGGAAGTACATAAATGCCAATGTTCTTCATCATACAATTAAACATATTGCTTCGTTTCTAATGTGTCATTTGTCTAATCTTCGACTATATATTTGTGCTCGGGTGAACTCATGGAGGCGAACTTTAAAATCTTCGAATAATGGTTATACACTTTATCTTAGAAGTTATCTTTTCGATTACATTAATATTTTTTAGCTCTTTTTAGTGATTCTTGAACTAATAATTTACATATAAAATGACAATGTATTTGTGATTTTTCCTTTCCACACGTTAAGATTTCGTTTTGATTAAACTAATATGACTAAATTCTTACGTTAGCTTAAAACAACAACATAATTTAGCTCCTTTTTGGCCTCCATACTCTAAAATTTATTTTTTCTCAAATTCATTTTCAACCACACATTTTATGAAATCCACAATTTTTATCAATTTTTAGCATACAATTCATCAACTTCTATCTATTCTTTATATATAAATAATTTAATTTTTATCAATAATTCTGCACGTACAGGATTATTCATACAGAAGAAAAACAAGATACTTACATGGGGTGGGGCCCATGTGAGTATTATATTGGAAAAAAAATACACAACCCACCCCGTGTATGTGTGTGTTTTGAATTTTTGTATAAATTATGTTAAATAATTCATGTACTCATAGCAACACTCAATTTTTATAGAATCCAAATGGGGCCTTAGTATTATTCATGATGTTCCATCTATATGTCAATTCTTGATGTTTATGTGGTGGGAATTTATGTCATTTCAAATTCGCAACCGAAAATCTTAGTGATATACTTTCAAGATTCTCCATTAATCCCACTACATACAATGTAGCTCTTAGAATCAGCTAAGGTTCAGTTGTTTGAGACTACATTTGATGC